CGATAGAGTTCGGCGTTGACGTGATGTCAGGGAGCTCATAGTCAGTTTTAGGAGAGCAGGGACACAGTTTCAGCTGGCTCACCACTGTGACTAAGTAATGGGATAAGACGAACGTCTTCCTGCAAAGCACAACGTATGCCTCGGCGCAGTTTGCCGACGGGGGGGGGGGGCATTTTGCACTTTCGTTGCTTCACTAGTTCTGGTTTACAAGTCTCACTCTGGTGAAACCTGTGAACTCTTGTGAAGCTGGAGCAAGCTCGTCAAGCCATCATGGTAAAACCTGTCAACTCGAGAAGAGGCTGTCTAGATGGGTCGACACGTCGATGGGAAGTCGTTAAAGTGCAAAATGCCCCTTGTCGCCAAACAGCGCCCGTATGCCTCTAATGTGGCCACATTCCAGCTTCTTTACTTTTGGAGAAATGAGAGAAAATTAGAATGCAGACTGCACCATAAGTATGGCAACTAAGCAATCGTGACACAAAAACAGCTAAACCACGAAACCCTTTCAGAATTTACTTAACTTGGATCATAGCAGCAAGGGGAGGCTCGCGCGGCTTAGCAACCTCTTACCAGTTACAGATCCAGTTGTAGCTCAGGCAGCCTTTTGCTGGGGCACGCAACGTTCTCTGAAGAGTGTCCAGCTTTTCTCTTCTCTGTTCTCTGGAGAACTTCGCCCAAGGTTTTCTCCAGTAACTTTTTCACAACTTCAACTGTGCTTTTGTCTGAGGTGCAGACTTTCTTCTTTAGGATAGGTAGTACGCAGAAACTTATTAGTTTGATATCTGGCAAGTTCACTAGACAATGTGAATGATAGGGAATTCGGGAGCAGTGAACGCGGAACAAGACTTGAGTTCGCTCTCTTCAGACCGTAAGCTCGTACGTCAGCCTACTCACAAGAAGCTGGATGAATAACTATAGTTTTCTAGTCACCGAAAACGCTCAAAACGCTGGCCTACTTTCAAGATGCTGGCTCGATGCTTAAACTTTCCGTTTTGAGCGCTTGAAACGCCCAAAGCGCTGGCGTATACTCGAAACGCTCCCGCAAAGCATAAATCCACTCCAGAGTTTTCGACGCTGACCAGCTCCTTTTTGGAATGCTCCCACTGTATCCCACTTAAATTCGGCATTTTGACATGCTACTTGGCCTATGCAGTTACTTGCAGGGGCCAGTGGAGATATGTGCAATTCAGTTATCCGCCCACATGACTGAAACTAATCAAGAGTCTGGTACTAATTAAGTGTCCCTCGAGAGATGAAAGACCTTGGTCTGTACGGGGACAGGTCCAGGATTTGAACCCCCGAATCCTGTACTCACTACTTGTTGTGGCGAGCAGCACTACTTGCCATTACGCTATGTTCCCTTTTTAATGCAACGGTCGGTAGAGGATCATTTTATTTCCTTCACAGGGAACTCCTCATGAATGACCCCTAATCTTGAATCGGTGAAGGCACCAGCGAACAAATTTCTTTTCGTATTCAACCTTATAATTTGAAGTCACGAGTTGCCCCGTATTTGGTAGACCAAGAAAGGTTCAGAAGAAAGGATTATGGAACTACTGATCACTAGAGACAAATTCAACCATTTTCACGTAGTCACATAGAAATGTCATATCAGCGAAAGTACGTGAGTAAGAGTTCTTGCCAAATTCTCTCCTAAAGTTTCTCTGAACTCGGAACTCCGAATAATGTTAGGGTTCACAGCTCACAGTTTTCTTAGAAGGCTCACTTGGTTAACCACACTGTTCTGCACATGGATACAATTATCTCCTGGGTTTTATTCAGCTTTTTCATTTCGACACAGACAGTCAATAAGGCCCATTCCCGTTAATTAGCTTCACTCATTTGAAAATAATAATTTGCTCATGGGGGCAAGCGAAAAAGATATGCTTGCTTGTTACCGCGTTCCTGACTGTAAGAAGTTGTACTCTGTTCACTTAGAGAAACGTCATAAATTACACAATTTA